TCCACCTGTCTTCAAGGCGCGGTACGTGGCTCGTGGCTTCAGTCAGCGGCAGGGAGTTGACTACTTTCAGACCTTCTCTCCCACCCCGAAGATGACCACTCTTCGGGTGCTGCTGCACATAGCCGCTCAGCGCGACTACGAGCTCCACTCTCTTGACTTCAGCACTGCTTTCTTGCAGGGTAGCCTGCACGAGGAGATCTGGCTGCGCCGTCCACCTGGCTTCACTGGGACTTTCCCTCCTGGCACCTGGTGGAGCTTCCGACGGCCAGTCTACGGTCTCCGCCAGGCACCGCGTGAGTGGCACGACACATTGAGGACTACGATTGCGGCTCTTGGGTTTGCTCCCTCTACTGCTGACCCGTCGTTGTTTCTGCGCACCGACACTTCTCTGCCGCCGTTCTACATCCTCGTGTACATTGACGACTTGGTCTTTGCCACAGCAGACACTGCTGGACTCGCCTACGTGAAGTCCGAGCTGTAGAAGAGACACACGTGCACAGACCTGGGTGAACTGCGCAGCTACCTTGGCTTGCAGATCACTCGGGACAGAGCACGCCGCACCATTACCTTGACTCAGTCACACATGGTGCAGCACGTCCTTCAGCGCTTCGGCTTCACGTACTCCTCGCCTCAGGCCACTCCTCTGTCTACTCGCCACTCGCTCTCAGCTCTGCCTTCGGATGAGTCCGTAGAGTCGAGTGGCCCGTACCCAGATATTGTTGGCTGCCTCATGTACCTGATGACCTGCACACGACCTGACCTTGCATACCCTCTTAGCATCTTGGCACGCTATGTTGCTCCTGGGAGACACCGACCAGAGCACATGGCTGCAGCGAAGAGGGTGTTGCGCTACTTGTGCAGTACGTCGGGCATGGGGCTAGTGCTTGGAGAGCGGAGTCCAGTGGTCCTTACTGGGCACGCGGACGCTTCTTGGGCTGACGACCAGGCTACGCAGCGGTCGTCGCAGGGTTACACCTTCAGTCTTGGTTCCGGCTCTGTTTCGTGGCGAGCTACTCGCTTGTCTTCGGTTCTCGGCTCCAGTTGTGAGGCTGAGATCTACGCCGGGGCCATGGCTGCTCAGGAGCTTCGCTGGCTCACCTACCTGCTGACTGACCTTGGAGAGCCGCCTCGTTCTCCTCCAGTGCTGTACGTAGACAACAAGGCCATGCTGGCCTTGTGTCGAGAGCAGCGCCTGGAGCACAGAACGAAGCACATTGCTCTCCGCTACTTTCTTGCTCGTGAGCTGCAGCAGCGTGGTCGGTTGCGACTTGCGTACGTGGCCTCTGAGGCCAACACTGCTGATGTTTTCACCAAGGCACTTCCGCCTTGTGATCATCAGTGTTTCTGCACTCAGCTGGGACTTGTCCCAGTCTTGCCTCACTTGCTCACCTCTTGACCTTGCTTGTACTCTTGCATATATATATATATACCTGCTCTTGCTTGTTTAGACTTATATATATATGTGTCTCGTCCTGCTTGTGAACTGGCCTTGTGGCCTTGACTTTGTGCTCAGACTGTGTGGTGACGTTGTGATCCACCCTAAGCTTGCTTTGCTGTGCTTTGCTTGACTGGTCTTGTGACCCCTTGTTCTCCCCCACTTTGCCTATGGGGGTGTGTCATATCATTATAGCTTATGCTTTTGTGTAGGCTATAGTGGGGTATTCCATAGGGGGGTACAACCCAATTAGGGTTAGTACTTGTACCCACTTCATTCATAGTCCATCCCATTCTCGTTCTCATTCTCACAATTTTCGCGGCCAGAACAGCAAAACTTTTACGAAGCTCCTTCAGTTGGGCGGAGAGTGGCAGCAAGCTGAATCGCACCAACTTGGGGGGTTCTTTGCTTCACGGAAGCACCCGGCCGCACCTTGGTGCTGTGCTGTATTGTCCGCCCTCCATTTGCCGCTGGGCAACAGAACTGGGCCATGATTTTTACGAACCACTCGCAACAGGCACGATTGATGTTGATGCCAGCGAAGTGCTGTAATTTCGCAAAGCGGGTGAATGGAGACGTGCATCTTTCCCGCAATGTGGGCATGTAGGCTGCGAATGTCGCTTGTGGTTGCCCTATGGGCTGCGAAATGTCGCAGGTGTCGCAGGAAAAACCCAAGTATTGAATGTGGAAGAGCCAAACCATCATACTGGGGCGATCGTTACAACCAAGCGGGCCCCTCATTTCGCCAATCGATCTGCCCTATCAATTACGGGGCTAAAAGAAAAATCGCGATCCTGAGATCCTCCCACTTTTACCGCGTCCTTATAATGGTTTATTTTACGAAAGGAACCCGCCCGCGAACACTGGCTCAGCCTACAGGTACTAATTCCAGGCGTGTCATTGGTTTCTACTTAACTCTAAACCTACCCAAACGCCTAGAAGTGTAAACAAGCCGCTCTGAAAAGCACATAAATTCATTCAACCGCAATAAAGTGAACTCGCATGCCTAAGGGTGCATTCCTACCTCGTGTCAGACACGAAGTGGAGGTTTGGATGGAGGTTCGGAAGACCCGAAGTGGCCCACTTCGGGTCTTCCGAACATTGGTTTGCTATAGTTCCAGCTCACTCCGGGTCTTCCTCAACTTCACTTCGTGTCTGACCTCATGTCAGACACGAGCCAAGAATGTACAGGGCGTGTCCGAAGTGACATGTCAACGGATGTCGATGGATGTCGACGGATGTCAGGTTGGTAGGTGAGATTTTTCAGGCCGGCATTGTGTCCGAAGTGATCAGACATCCATCCGACATCCATCCGTCATCCAGCTTTGTGTAATCATTACAGTCAAAGGTTGTCGCCAACAGTGACCTCGGGCTGGTCAACGTGGCGTTGACGAACCAAATTATTGATAACAAAATTTGAGGGGGAACCATGACGAAAGTATTTCTGGGCAAGCGATAGCCCTTCGTGACTTGTACGGGGTGACGAAACAAGTTTGCGAAATCCGTGACTCAAATTTGAGCCTTCAATATTCTCTTTGGTCTGCCCTTGCCGGCGCCAGCAGTGCCGGCCTGCATATTTTAGGGCAGTTATGTCGCCGGCATTGTGTCCGAAGTGCCTCGACATCCATCTGCCATCCATCCGTCATCCCCTGTCATCCGCCACCGTCATCCATTGGATGACGGATGGATGACGGACGGATGTCGAGGGTCACTTTGGACCCGCCCTAAGAAAAAATCGTAGTGGTATATGCCCTACTAGCTCTCCAAAATGCGGATGGCTTTGCTTTTCTTTGAACTCTCCCCATCAACAGCACCTTCCGTGACCATCTGTCGGTTTCTCAAGCATCTCTGCTGGTCCTACTTGGGCGCCCACGTCAGCGCCCCCTTCACGGAGAATTTCACAGCAGTTTCAACATCGTGTGATTCTGACCGTCGATTAGATCATGTGGGAAGAACATCCCGTTGACCATCCGTTTCCTCCTCATCTCACTCTGTATTTCACGCGGTGCTGCCGCCGACTTCTGTCTTACTGTACAGCCGTGTACACATTTTCCGCGCCATTTGTACTAATGTTTGTCACTAAATAGAAGTACACGTATCATGGTATTGAGGGTTGTTTGAGATGAACCTGGATTTCACCTCTGTGATATCGACTCCAACATGTAAGCACAAAACGTAAGCAGTGGTCGCAATTTCAGCAGTTACTGTACTCCTTGTTCCTCCAGAACCAGATAGGACAATGGAACATGTCAAGTCCTGAACAAATCGAACAAATATACTTCCATGGGTTCTCCCTTGCAAATTCGGATGAAGTGGCTGTGCAGTTGGCTCAGGATTACTGTATTGCGCAGTTGGTATGCACAGTTAGCATCCAGCTAGTATGTAGGACACCACACCACACATGCCATGCTTCCCCATCCACCCCTCCGTTACACCCAATGGTATGGGAAACCTGTCCGCACTGTGTGGAATTCAACAGCACAACCATTTGCTCACGAGCCACAGAGTCATGACATGGCAGGCAGGCACGCACACACAACTCATGCCCTCCTACCGCAACTAGTTACCAGTCCCATCTGCCTTACATGTGGACATAGTAACTAGTTCTTACCAGTCCAGGTAATTTGGCGGGTGTTGGCTCTACTTGTCATTCTGACGGATATTTGTTGATGCTAGGCCCCGGGTTTCTCCTAATGTGGATAGGATTGCGGCTGCGGCATCTACGGTAGACCAAAGAACCAGCAGCGTCATACTCCCGCACATTGATTTTGGCATTTCGTCGTTAGGGCAGATAGAATCCGTTGTTATATCGGTCCAGTAGAAGCACATTTCCGCCTCATTGTCAAAGTAAAACCTTCACTCCGACGCGATCAGAACTCCATGGATTAGTCTAGACCTCGAAGACGGTACCAATTCCTCGGGCGAAGCGTAGTAGAGTCCATTGTCAGCGACGCCGTTTAGGATTTCAGAAGTATCACTTATCACGTACTTGTTTTCACGTCGCATTGTACCCACATTGCGTGCACAGAAGGCACCGATATCTCGCCATTTTGTTCATGGAAACCACTCAATGTCTCCGTTTTCGCGTTATTAATTAGGCTTAAAGGAGTCCCTACTCGAGCCCGTCGATAGCCAGCCACGAAGACACCACGATGTCTTCTCTTAAATACAACCTGTTGTCCCGTCGTTCTCGCTGATCTGCTAAATTGGTCCTTCTCTCTCGCAATTCAGCAACGGCAGCAGGGTCAGGGACTGCGGGAACGGACCTAGGAGACGGATTTCGTTTCTTTCTTTCTTTCTTCAGACATTCCAGAGTTCGTCAGGGACCGCGGGAACGGAGCCAGGAGAATCAACGGATCTTCACCCCCATCATCAGCAGCAGCTGTGGGAACAGCGAATTCGGCAAACGCCAGCAGCAGCAGCAGCAGCAGCAGCAACAGCTTCAGCAGCAGCAGCAACCGCATAGCAGCAGCGGCAATAGCAGGGATAGCAGGAGCCGCGGCAACAAATCTCGCCGTGCAGCAGCCGCAGCAGCCGCAGGACCATCAGAGATTCCCTGGCCACCATGGGTCCATCTCCAGGACAGCTGGACGATGGCGTGGCATCCATGCTCGTTAATATCACGGACATGCACGACTTCAAGCACGAGGTGACTGTAGAGGAAGCGCTAACTCTGAACCAGGTGGAGAAGCGCGCGCGAGAGCAGGGTCGCGTGTGGTGGAGCTACGAGGCGAACAAAGGCCCGTACTGGTTCCTGGAAGAAGCCCCAGCGAGCATCACGGGCGTGCATATACGAGCGAATCTCCAGGCGACGCTGCAGCAAGCGACGAATAACCTAAGCATGCACTTGCACCATCACCACCATTCCCTTTCCTCTTCCTCCTCCACCGCCTCCTCCTCGTCGTTACCCGCGTCGGCGTCTTGCCCCGCGGCTTGCTCGGCCGGAGCGTTGCCCGGTCCGGGATTGTTCGGTAGCATGTCTACCCCGACGGTGCTGAAGCGGCTTGTGCGGAAGGGGATTCCACCGCATCTGCGCCCGCGCGTGTGGAAGGCGGTGTCGGGAGCGGCTAAGAAAGAGGCGGTCGCGCCGGACGATTACTATTCGTCGCTGGTGGAGGAGACGACGTGGCGCACGACAGACCACACGCTGCAGATCGATCACGTGAGCAGTCTTGTATTCTGCCTCTTCCCCCCTTCCACGGGGTGTTCTAACTTCTACGTATGCAAGGTGAACATCTCCCCTGGTACACCCTCACCATTCCTTCTGTCCCCTCCCGCCTTCCCCCCTCCCCCAAACGTACTTTCTCCACTCCACACCCCCTTCCATGTCCCCCTGTCTCTCCGCATCTCCTCCCACTTCTCAACCAGCTCTCCCCATTTCGCCCCATCTGTCCCCATCGTTATCTCTCCCCAACTACCCCCATCCCTCCCCCATGTCCCCCCGCGTCCCCCCATCTTCCCCTAACTTCTCCCACCTTCCCTTGTTGCCCCCCATCTCTCCCCATCTGTACCTCAATCTCCCCCCATCTCTCCTCAGTCTCCCCTCCCCCCTCGCACTACCCCCGTTTTTTCCCCTAATCCCCCCGTCTTTTCTGGTCTCTTGCATTTTCCTCCCATTCCCCCCATCTCCTCTATCTCCCCTCCCACTCTCCCTCATTTATCCCTCCATCTCCCGCATCTCCTCCCACCTCCCCCCAACTTCTTCCGCCTTCCCTCGTCTCTCCCCATCTCTACTCATATCTCCCTTAGCCTCCCTCCATCTCCCTCCCCGCGCCTCCCCCTACCTCTGCCCACCTCCCCCCACCCTTCCCCTCATCTCCGCCCATCTTACCCACGCCCAAATCGCCGCCATCCCCCCTGAACCAGGACTTGCACCGCACGTTCCCCAAGCACCCGCGCATGGACACACCAGAGAGCCTCGCGGCTCTCAGGCGCGTGCTCGTGGCCTACTCCTTCCGGGACTCGCACGTGGGGTACTGTCAGGTGAGAGAGGGAGAATGAGTGCAAGCAATCACATGGGGTACTGCCAAGCCTATTGCGACTTTTGATTTGAGGCGCCTCAAGAGTCTGGCGCCTCTCAGGCGTGTGCTCGTGGCCTACTACTCCTTTCGGGACTCCCACGTGGGTTACTGCCAGCGGTGAGAGAGGGAGAATGAGTGCAGTGAACGGCCATCTCTCACGTGGGCCCGTGGGGTATGGCCAGATGAGAGATTCTGAGTGTGCAATCAATGGCCGTTTCCGCTCCTCCTCTCTTCTGTGTATCGAAATGCTCCACCTCAACCCCTTCCCATCCCACTTCCCGTCCTCCTCCACGGCCGCCAGGGCATGATGAGCTACGCGGCAGCGTATCTGCTGCTGGTGATACGTCTCTCCTTCCCTCTTCTCTCCTTCCCTCTTCCTGCTGATTCCCACGCCCTACTTCCCATGCACCACCTCCCTCCTCCTTCCCCCCCCCCCCCTCCGCCCCCCACACGTGCCCTCCTCTTCCTACCCGCCAGAGCATGAACTAAGTGGCAGCTTACTTACCTGCTGCTGAAGATGCGGCTTCTCCCCTCTCCTCTCTCATTCCCACGCCCCTCGCCCCACACCCCTCCCCAATAGCTCTTCCCACACCTTCCCTTCCCTAACGGCAGGGCATGAAATTCATGTCCACGTACCGCTGCTGGTGATGCGCAGTGATGCTGCAGGGTGTTTTTGAGAATTCTCAAAAACACCCAGCAGGCCATGAAGTTCATGACCACATACCGCTGCTGGTGATGCGCAGTGAGCAGGACGCCTTCTGAATTCTGGCGACCCCTTTGCACCTCTTGCCCTGCCCTTTCCCTCACCTCCCACCCCCCCTTGAAAGCCCTCCCCTACACCTGTCCCCTGCACCCCTCCCGCCCCTCCCCTCCGTCCCCCCTCCGCCCTATGTCCCGCCAGGGCATGAACTACGTGGCGGCGTGCCTGCTGCTGGTGACGCACTCCTCCCCTTCCATCCCCACGCCCCCTGCCTCCCTCCCCCACTTCTCCCACCCACTCGCCCTCTTCCCCTCTCCCCCTACCCACCAGGGCATGAACTATGTCGCAGCGTACCTGCTGCTGGTGATGCGCAGTGAGGAGGACGCGTTCTGGATGCTGGCGACGCTGGTGGAGAACGTGCTGTACGACGACTGCTTCGCCGAGGACCTCTTTGGCGTGCACGTCGAGCAGCGCGTGCTCAAGGACCTGCTCAAGAAGAAACAGCCCAAGTGAGCACGGAAGGGGGAAAGGGGAGGGTGGGGGGAAGCGTGAGGGGGAGGGGTGAGCGGGGAAGTGGGGATTCTGACCCGTGTTTTTTTAAGGCTCTTTGGCGTGCACGTGGAGCAGCGCGTGCTCAAGAACCTTCTCAAGAAGAGGCAGCCCAAGTGGGAAAAGAAAGAGGGGACGGGGGGAGTGGGCCCTTTGGTGCTCGTCAGAAGCCTCTTTGGCGTGCACGTGGAGCAGTGCGTGCTCAAGGACCTGCTCAATCAGAAACAGCTCAAGTTAGCGAGACAGGGGGGATGGGGAGGGGGCACATGGAGAGGATTAGAAGGGAGGAGAGATGATTATGTGTGAGGAGCGTGAGAGGGCAGGAGGTAGGGAGTTAGGAAGAGAGGGGAAGGAGGTGAGTTAGGGAGGTTTGTAAGAACGTGGGGCAGCTGGGGAACAAGGGAGGAAGGGGATGGAGGGGAGAGGAATAACAAGGTAAACGCTGTTCACATACCCACTTTCTGTTGTGCTCTCTACTTACCACGTCCACGTATCCCTACATTCCAGTCACCCCAAGGTCTGAAATTCGTTTCTTTTGTCGATTCATAGTTTTGCCTCCCTCTCCTTGCGTCATGTCATGCGAAGCACACTCGTCTCTCTGTCATCACTCCATCTTATCTGACCCCCATCCACCCACCCATTCCCTCCTTCCCTGTCCCCTTTTCCGTCTTCTCCTTTCCCCCCTTCCCCACCTCCCCCCTCTCTCCCCCTCCTCCTCTCCTCTCATTTACCAGGCTAGCTAGCCACTTAAACAAGGTGGGTTTTGAGCTCTCCCTTGTGACCACTGAGTGGTTCTTGAAACAGCAAAAAAATCCCCGTCCACGGTCCACCCACTCATCCACCCCCCCTTCCCCTCCTCTCCCCCCCCACCCCCCCCCCCCCTCTCCTCGACCAGGCTAGCTAGCCACTTGGACAAGGTGGGCTTTGAGCTCTCACTCGTCACCACCGAGTGGTTCCTCTGTGTCTTCGCCAAGACCTTCCCCTCTGAGGTGCGTGGGTGTGCAGTGCAAGCACCTTTCTCTTCTGCCAACACTCGGCTTCGCTCTCACCTCCTTACCTGGGCTTGTGAAACCCCAACCTCTCAGTCTCTCTCTCCCTCCCGCGTCACCACCGAGTGGTTCCTCTGTGTCTTCGCCAAGACCTTCCCCTCTGAGGTGCATCGCTCAATCTCTTGCCCTCTCTAATCTCATGTCCCCACCCCGCTTTTCTTCCGAGCTTTCGCGCCTGAATCAGGCTTCTGGGGCGTCTCAAAAGCCTTATCTGCTGCTCTCATGTTTTCCGCCCCCTTGTCCGAGCTTTCGCGTAACAATCAGGTCCAAATCTCCTCTATTTCCTCTCACAACGGGACGCACACACGTCCGTGCATGTTTGTCTGGGTGTGCGTGTCAGTGTGTGTTGTCGTGTGCATGAGTGTAAAGTTGTGTGTGTATTTATGTGTCTGTGTGTATGTTCTGTGAGCATGCGTTTTACATGTGTGCGTCTGTGCGGGTGTTGGTGTGTGCATGAGTGTGTATGTGCGCATGTGCGGGTGGGTGTCTGTGTGTCTGTATGTATGTATGTATGTATGTATGTATGTATGTATGTATGTATGTATGTATGTATGTATGTATGTATGTATGTATGTATGTATGTATGTATGTATGTATGTATGTATGTATGTATGTATGTATGTATGTATGTATGTATGTATGTATGTATGTATGTATGTATGTATGTATGTATCTATCCCCACCTGCATGCATCACATCACACGTGCCCTGTGCGTGCAACAGACCACGCTGCGGGTGTGGGATGTGCTTTTCAACGAGGGAGCCAAAGTGCTCTTCAGAGTCGCCCTTGCACTATTCAAGGTAACCTGCTCCCTCAACAAACCTGCTTCCGCCCTGGTAATCTAATCGCCCTGGTAATCTAATCGCCCTGGTAATCTAATCGCCCTGGTAATCTAATCGCCCTGGTAATCTAATCGCCCTGGTAATCTAATCGCCCTGGTAATCTAATCGCCCTGGTAATCTAATCGCCCTGGTAATCTAATCGCCCTGGTAATCTAATCGCCCTGGTAATCTAATCGCCCTGGTAATCTAATCGCCCTGGTAATCTAATCGCCCTGGTAATCTAATCGCCCTGGTAATCTAATCGCCCTGGTAATCTAATCGCCCTGGTAATCTAATCGCCCTGGTAATCTAATCGCCCTGGTAATCTAATCGCCCTGGTAATCTAATCGCCCTGGTAATCTAATCGCCCTGGTAATCTAATCGCCCTGGTAATCTAATCGCCCTGGTAATCTAATCGCCCTGGTAATCTAATCGCCCTGGTAATCTAATCGCCCTGGTAATCTAATCGCCCTGGTAATCTAATCGCCCTGGTAATCTAATCGCCCTGGTAATCTAATCGCCCTGGTAATCTAATCGCCCTGGTAATCTAATCGCCCTGGTAATCTAATCGCCCTGGTAATCTAATCGCCCTGGTAATCTGCAGGCCATCTTCTCTTCCTTCCACGTGCCACTCTATCCTATCCTCCTCCCCCACGTCATGTACCGTTCCGCCTTTCGTTTTCCTCCCTCCTGTGCCGGACCGCCAACCAACCCCACACTGCTTTCCTGGTACCCTTCATCAGAATTGCAACAATGAGCTCATGTGTAGTGAGGCAATTTTTTTGGCGCCTCAGAAATCGCCTCACTACATGCTGTTTGCAAGAATGAGTTTTTGATTTTGTTTAATGCACCTTGGTACACACTCCCCCGATTTACCTCCTTCCTTTCCCCTCCCGCCAACTCTCCACTCCCCTCCCTGCAACTTTTCCTCCTTCAGAACTTGTGCGAATGCAGCCATCCCTTATGCGCACTACACCAGCTCTCTCTCCCACTCTCTTTCACCCCACGCTTGGTGTCAGATAAACGAGGCAGAGCTCATGACAGCACAGCACAGCACCTGGGCAGCGGCACTTGTGACGCCTCTAAAGTAAAGCTTCAAAACGTTTCCTTGTGCTCGTTCCACCCGCTCTTTCCCTCTCTTCTCTCTCTCCCCCTGCACCCCCGTGTCAGATAAACGAGGCAGAGCTCATGACAGCACAGCACCTGGGCGACGTGGTGGAAATACTCAATCGGTCCAGCAGCAGGCACTTTGACCCCGACATTCTCCTGCAGGTGTGTCCTTATCCTCATGCACCTCCCTCTCATCTCCTCTCCTGTGAATGTTGTGTCAAGGTGACTTTTGAGTCGCCGTAAAAGTCATTGCGTGGTGGAAATTCTCAATCGATCCAGCAGCAGGCACTCTGACCTAGACATTCTCCTGCTGCAGGTGTGTCTGCTCTGCGGGCGCCCCTCCCTCTCATCTCCTGCGAGTGTCGTGTTGTGTCATCTTACCTCGTAATGTCTAGTCTGCGTGTTCGTCTTCCTCTTACTCACCCTGCCATGTCATTGCATGTCATCTCATCTCATCTCGTCTCATCCCATCTCATTCCACCTCACCACACCTCACCTCACCACACCTCACCTCACCACACCTCACCTCACCTCACCTCACCTCATCTCGTCACGTCTCCTGCCAGTGATGCACTCCATGAAAGGCCACTATATGGGTTGCAGGCTGTTCCTGCCAACCACAGGGCTGTCTTTTTCTGAGGAGCCTCAAAAACTATAAGACAAATTCCTAAGCGCCTCAGAAAGCTTCCAAGGCCCTTGAAAAATGAAGTTGCGAGCTGTCTCTCTGTCAAGTCAGTGACAGCTTGACACAGTTGCCCAAACGCAAGCCATCCCCCGTCCCTCCCGTCCCTCTCGTCCACCATGTCCATGCCCACCATTTTCAAGCACCTCAAGCGACAGAAACGTTTTGAGACGTCTAAAAAACCCCATGTGATAAGAAAGTGTTTTGAGACATCTCAAAACATCCCGTCCACCATGTCCATGCCCACCGCCATGCTCAAGCAGCTCATGCGACATAAACACATACATGTATTATTTCTACCTTCCTCGACTCTCATTATGCCCCTCTACTACCTCTCTCCTCCCTCCTCTCCTCTACCGGCTGGGAGAATCCCGTGCATGCCATGCCCACCATTCTCAAGCAGCACAATGGGCAGAGCTTTTAACCCCCCCTTTTACTGCCTCTCCTCCTCCCTCTCTGCCCCTCCACCAGGTGGCGTTTGACCGGGTGGGAACCATGCCCATGGCCACCATTCTGAAGAAGAGACATCAATGCAAACCCCCCTCCCCTTCGCTTTCTCCGTCACTGTTCCCTCCCTTCCCCTTCCCCTCCCTTCCTCCTCTCCTCCACCAGGTGGCGTTTGACCGGCTGGGAACCATGTCCATGGCCACCTTCTCAAGCAATGCAAGTGGCAGAGATTTTAACCACCCTTTTACTGCCTCACCTCTCTCCCTCTGCCTCTCCAGCAGGTGGCGTTTGACCGGCTGGGAACCATGTCCTTGGCCACCATTCTCAAGCAGCACAATGGGCAGTGTTATTAACCCCCCATTTTACTGCCTCACCTCTCTCTCTCTGCCCCTCCACCAGGTGGCGTTTGACCGGCTGGGGACTATGTCCATGGCCACCATTCTCAAGCAGCGCAAGCGTCAGAAGAACGCTGTGGTGGCGGCACTAGAGGCCCGGCAGCAGCAGCTCAGCGCGTACAAACAGGGCAGCAGCAGCAGCAGCAGCAGGAGCCAGGAGAGCAGAGAGAGCAGGGAGAGCAGGGACGAAAGGGAGAGCAGGGAGAGCAGAGAAGGAGGAGGAGGGGGCAGGGAGAGCAGAGAACGCGGCAGCACTAGCAGGGGTGTTAGCATCAGCAGCAGCAGTAGCTGCAGTGGAAGTGTGAGCGGCAATACAGAAATTGAATCTGCGAATGGCAGTAGGGACGGTGGCAGTAGGTTGAAAGGGAGCAGCAGTGTGAGTGGCGTGAGTACAGTCTCTGTTAGTGAGAGGAGGGAGGGAAGCAGTGCAAAGGCACAGATGCTTGATTTGGGGGAAGATGGCCGCAGTCTTAGCTTTCCAGCTGCCATTGCTGAGGGGAAGACCGGGGAAGAAGATGAGGGAGGCAGGGGGAAACGGGGTGGAGGAGGAGAGGCTGTCCATTTATCTGCATCCAACGGTAACGCCACTGATGCTTCGCGTGCTGCTGCAAGAACCGTTGATTCGATCAAAGTCCCGGACCGCACCCGTCCCAGAGGCTTCCGAAGTGCCTCCATCTCTGTTTGTTCATTTGCTAGGTATGAAGAAGAACCTGCCGCTGCTGAGGTCAACCATAGGACCGTTCTCCCTCCAGGTGCTTTGTTCCGTGACGCCAGTGCTGCCTGCGGCAGCAGGAACAGCCGCTGCAGAGGGGCGTTAGGGGGAGCTTTGAAGGGGGGCGTAGGGGCTGGAAGAGGTTGGGGAGGATTTGATGAGATGGAGAAGATTCGGGAGGAGGAGAGAGCGGAATGGGCGCGGGAAGGATTCACCCCTCCGCAAGGCCTACCACCTCGCGTGGCGTCTCACCTGAATTTAAACTTGAACTCGGTGTCAGTTTCTCGCATGCATGCTGCGGCAGAAGCTGCATTGTCTGTGTTCTCAGCTGCTTCAGAAGTGTCTTCTGTGGCAGCAGCGTCAGTGTCGCTGGCCATGGGATCTCGCGAGGCTGAGAGTGGACTCATTCGCACCAACTCCATTTGATTTTATTTGTCTGGCTGACGCCAAAAAACCCGCAAGAGAGGCTGAGGGTGCACTCATTTGCACTAAATCCATTTGATTTGCCTGGTGCTGGAAAATATTTCGCGAGAGGCTGGGAATGTGCTTGCACGCACCACCTTGTATGATACCATACTTCGCACCTTCTTTAATGTGGGTAGGAAGGGGTAGGGGGTGAAAGGGGGAGGGGGAGGGGATCGGCTGGGGGTTGTGCAGTGTCAGCAACCAGCCTCGATGTGCCAATGTCACCGTGTAGTTTTCAACAGGCGCAGTTGCTTTGATTCTCCACGCACTTCCTATGTATCCCTCTCTCAGCCCCCTCTTCCCCCCAACTTCCCCCTTCGCCCTCCCTTTCCAACTTGTCTCTCTCTCTCACTCCCCCCCTATTCTCTCTACCTTGTTCTTATCTCAAGCCCACCTCCCTCGACCACCCACCCTTCCATGCCGACGCTGCCCCACTCTTTTTCTGTTAGCTCGGCCATTATTGTTTGGTCCAGGTGTGTCCAGAATCCACTTGGTTGAATACATGTATTGATTGTGGTGTTCTACTACGAATTTCACGCTGGGTTTACGGAGTTATGGTACTACGCGGTATGACACCTGCGAGATTGTACAGTACTTTCAGTGATTCTCGGTATGGGACTCTAGCGTCCAATACGTGGTTGGCTCGCGAAGCGCGTTTTTCTGACGTGTCGCGCTGCAGTTCATTGGTCAGATTCAATCGATACCAATCCCCGTAATCTCCGACCTCACTGTCAGCACCACCACTCTTCCTTTCAGCGTGTGAAATTCCGCAATGATCTTTCAAAATGTCGTGGAAGGAGTGCAGGAGTCAGGGACTTCCGAGGGCCTAAGCATTTGGTTCGGACTTCCAAGCAAGTTCAGACCGTGTCGTCATGAGTTCTTGAGAGAAATCAAAACAAGTTTTACACCTGTTATCCCATATCTTCACTACCCTTAATTTTACACCACGGCTCGGTGTCACTTCGGGGTCCTCAGCCCAACTTTCTTGGAAGCCGAGCTGCCAAAGTGTGGTTGAACATCTAGACCCCCCCCCCCAACAGAAATGACGCAATTTATACTCGTGAGGCTGAGATGGAAGCCACAACTTCTGAAATATTCGGGACATATTCTTGGTGAGGTTCAGACTTGGAGATATGACTTCGTATCGTGTAAGCTTGCTGTAATTTTTGAACTTCGTATTCCTCCAAAACAGTGTCAACGTTTCATAGGCCGACATGAACTCCTTCGAAACAAAACTGAGCAACGCCCTGATTCTATTTTGGGTGTGAACCCAGCCCCTCGCAATCCTGACGTGGTGATGTGGCACTAGCTGGATAAATTTCCCTGAGATCGTGCGATGTACTTTATCCATGTCAGCTGCAGGCTTTGCGACTCGTGTGTGAAATTAAAACCGGAGTCCCAAACAGCCCGAAACTGCCTCAACCTTCCTAACTTCGGTTGGGTGTGACCCAGTTGATACCGAGCTCTCCTCGCAAATTGTTGGGACGATTTTTGCCAAGCGAAATTACTGTTCAAGCGAGGACTATAGCGGTGACAACTTTGCAAACACATTTGCAGCCAGTCCGAAACAGTCAGCGAACGAGTTCTGACGTAGCATTCCAGATCTGGTTACACTTGCGACTTTTTCATACTTAGCGACCCGCTACCACTGATTTAGACACCACCCTGGCTCGCGAGCCAGTCACCTTTCTCTCCCCTTTCAACCTTCTTAACTTAGAAACTCTTGGACCTCCGGTTTTAACCAGAACTTTTTTGCTCTGTCAAATTTCACACCCTCTCGGGCAAACGTTAACGCGACTCGGATATGTTCCCCCGTGAAATTACCGGAGAAAAGGTGTATAAGCTTTGGAAGGGTTGACACTGAGGACTGCCAAAACTGTTCGTTCCGAGGTTGAGGAACCCTCCCTGGGGATTCAAACCTAGGGATGTTACTCCCGTGACTTATCCTTAGTCGTTTCAGCATAATTACGTCTGGCTAGTCGCTCAACAGTTAGCTCGCTATTGCTACGTTTGCGTCTATAGAGCCACGAATCAAGAGCCACGCAACAACCGACCTGCTTATTCCAGCCTGGAACCAGGTGGCATATACTGGTTGCGGAAAAAATACAACACTCCCAGTCCTATTCCAGGTTCAGGCTGGAGTAAAGGAGAGGGACCATGTCGCTCGCGGTGACACATGCAAGCAACCCAATCGTAATGCTGGTAGATTCTGCCTTAATTGACAGCGGTTTCTACCGTGTGTTTCATGTATATCCGTTTCAAAAATGCCATGGCTCGAGAAATTTCATGACTCCAGAAATGGCAAGGGGCTCGTCACCCAGATTTCTGCAATTCCCGTTTTCCCTGTTCCTTTCTTCCCCCCACCCCACTTACCCCTCCTTCCTCTCCGCATTCCTCTTCCCCCATCCTCCGCCCTGTGTCCTCGTTTAAAGCAGACACAGTGCAGCAGAAGAGAAATCCAAGCTACATCGGCATCATCACCTCTCCTTTACACCAGCCACCCCGCAAACTGCACAGGTCAGCAGAGATGGCAAGAACCGTGTTCGCGACTTAGAAAGGATAGCCAGCAGCGGAGGAAAGTATGTGAGACTCTCAGGGCTACAGCAGGAGGAATTTCAGGTGTTTTAGGGAATTCCTGGGACGAAGGACAATCCAGACGGAAGCTACTCAATAGGTTCGCTTCTGCGTTTGAACCAGCTGCATGCAGCGGCTTGGCAAGCGGACCCGTCGGGGGTCTTTGGAGAGTAGGGGACGGCGGATGGGGGTTGCAAGGAGGGAGGGGAGTGAGAGTTTTCCGGGGAGGGAAGGAGACAGGTGTGCAGGGGGAGAGGGCGCAGCTTGCGAGGAGACAGCGTGTGGCTGTCTTGGCTGCGTGGGGCTTTAAACGACAACAAGAACAACAGCTTCAGCAGCAGCAACAGCAGCAGCAAGGTGGAAGCTCACCATTGGCATCAACGTCAACGTCAACGTCAACGTCAGCGTCAGCGTCAGACACGGATTCGTATTTCGACTCGGGGTCGGAGGACACAGAGGAGGGGCCGCGAGTGGCGCGCTTGAGAGCAGTCCACATGTCCAGCATCCGCATTCACCCGTGGGGGAACGCGAGAGGTCCTGAGATCGATTCCTCGCTGGCACAGTCTTCATCTCAGTCATCTGAGAACCGATTCGCTGAGTACCGAACCTCTGCCGAAGCAGTGGAGCTGCTGGCTCGGTACCTGCAGTCGCCCCAGGGCCAACGCAAGCTACTTAACGAGGCTGCCCTGCAGCAGGTGACTGGTCTCCTACCTCCCTTCACTCCTTCCTCCTGCTCTCCTTGTCATCCTGCGGTTCTGCTTCTCGCATCCTTTCACAGGCAATCCTCTGCTCCTGTTGCTGCCCCCGTTCGAAGGTCCCTTTCTGGTTTCATCCGGGTTTGTCTAAGCTCTTTGCTATGTGGTTCACCCATTCACCTGACTTGAAAACATCACTCTGAGGTCTTTTGTTTTCGGTGGCATGGCCTTCCTTGTGTGATATATATCCATGCGCGCATGCCGTGCCACCCTGCCTGTTTACCACCCTGCCTGTTTACCACCCTGCCTGTTTACCACCCTGCCTGATTACCACCCTGCCTGTTTACATAGGCCTGCCTGCCGGTCTGCCTGTGTGCTCGGCTCCTGCGCATGCACATTCGTACGCATACATCCCCATCTCACTTCCATCCCTGAGCCCATAACCATCGCCCCATGTGATGAGTCGACTCAAAACTCGACTCATCTCACTTCCATCCCTGTGCCCATACCCATCGCCCCATCATGTGGCAGTTGGAGCCTGTGTCAGCGAATCTGTTCAGGTACATTCACCTACATCCATTCACCTGCGCCCATTCACCTGCGCCCATTCACCTTTGCACTCTGTGCAATTTCGTTTCATGACCAGTTTTTCTTTGAAAAATACACTTACTCACTTCGTGAAAACTTTCCAGCTCTTACCATGCCTATTCTTCCATGCCTATCCTTCCATGCCTATCCTTCCATGCCTATCCTTCCATGCCTGTCCTTCCATGTCTGTCCTACCATGCCAAGCCTGTCTTACCATGGCTATCCTACCATGCTCCACCAACCCGTACCAGGTGTTACCTGCATCCACTAGAGCTCTTCAGCATCTCCGTGCAGCCAATCATGGACCTCCACGTGTCATCCTCTCATGACACGTGTACTGTGGAAATGCTCTCGTGTCAAGTGAGTACTGAGTTGAGCCATACCTTCTAGTCATTTGAAACATATAAAACATATGAAACATATGAAACATATGAAACATTTGAAACATATGAAACATATGTTTCCCTCTATGACAGTAGAGCCATAAGCAGTAGCTCGTGATGCGTCACCTCCCTCTGTCCCTGTGCTCTTCCTCCCTCCCTCTATCCTTCCTGTTCTTTTTCCCCTCATTCCATCTCACACCCCTCCCCACCTCGCTTCTCACGGCCTCTGCGCCTTGGATTCACAGCTGGGGACATCTAGCCAGGGCAACCAGAACCGAGTGTTTGAAGGTGTGTGCTTCTTAGTCGCAAGTGTGAGAGAGCGTGAGATGTTGGAGTGGAAGAGAGGGGGGGGGTGGGGGAGTAGAGAGGGGGGCATGGATGTTGAGAAGAGATTGCAGGGGGGTGGTAGGGGAATTAGTGTTGCTGACGTTTGGACAGTTGTTGATTCTGTTGCCAGTTGTCGATCATGCTCCTTCAATCTAACCCTGCTTTCGCAGTTTCCTCATCATATTCCCTCTCCCATAAATACCTTAGGAAACGCATCTCTTGTTCTATATACATCATCTTTATTTTCTGCATATATATTTGTCTGTGTATGTGTGCTTCTGAGTTTATATATTCATTGCGGCTGCTGCTGCTGGTCTGCCGCTGCTGGTCTGCTGCTGCTGGTCTGCTGCTGCTGGTCTGCTGCTGCTGGTCTGCTGCTGCTGGTCTGCTGCTGCTGGTCTGCTGCTGCTGGTCTGCTGCTGCTGGTCTGCTACTGCTGCTGCTGCTGCTGCTACTGCTACTGGCACAGCTCTTTCTTAACAGTCTCCTTCTCCTCGCCTCTGCTACAGGTTACCTCAAGAACGTGATGACGTGGCAGCCATGTCAGCAAGAGGAGGGCCACGTGGTTCTCTCTATGAGCTCAGAGATCCGAGTGTCATTGGAGGTGTGTTGGGGGGGTGGTAAGGGTGCGGATGGGTGGGTTAGGGTGGGGTGGGGATGGGTCGGGTGGGGTGGGGTGGGGTGGGGTGGAGTGGGGCCCACGTGGTGCTCTCTATGAGCTCTGAGATCCAAGTGTCGTTGGAGGGTTTGGGGAGGGATGGGGGCCGGGGGAAGGGAAATCGGAGGGGGGAGTGCGTGGAGGGACGGTGCACAGGGTTGGGTAAAGTGGGGAAGTTACATTGGGTAAAGTGGGGAAGTTACATTGGGTAAAGTGGGGAAGTTACATTGGGTAAAGTGGGGAAGTTACATTGGGGAAAGTGTGGGAAGCAGGGGGGCAGGCTGTGGAGAGGGATGATGTAGAGAGAGGAGAAGGGAGAGGGGAGAGGGAGGAGGAGAAGGGAGAGGGGAGGGGAAGAGGGGAGAGGGGAGGGGAAGAGGGGAGAGGGGAGGGGAAGAGGGGACATGTGAGCGACAATAAAGGCACCTGTATAAACTCCCGTCCTCTCCTTTCCTCTCCTTTCCTCCTCTCTCCTCTCTCCTCTCTCCTCTCTCCTCTCTCCTCTCTGCTCGTCCCTGACCAAATCTCTTTCTGCTCTGCAGGTCTACACTCTACCCTTCACTCTCCTCCCGCTTTCTGCTGTTGAGAAACCAGGGAACAAGTAAGCCTCTCCTTTCAGTTTATCCTCAACATCCCTTGGACCTGCTATCTTCCTGACCTCCCAGCAGAAGCTATCTCTTTACAGCTCCACTCCCTTTCGCCCACTGTCATGTCTTCTTTTTTAAACAGGCAACCCAACACCCTCGTATGCCCTCATTCTCTCTCGTATCTTGCTGACTCCTTTTTCATGCATACTCTTTGCTGTGTTAACATACTATCTATGCTCACTCTTCGCTGTGTTAGCATGCTCTTCATGCACCATTTGCCCCTTCGTCTTGCCACGGAGCTCTCTTCCTTTCTCCGTGTCACCACCCTCGTGAGTCGAACGCCGAGATTACCCAGCACTCCTTCCTTTCCTTAGTTCTCTTATTGCCTCAGGGCTTGACTTTTCTCCAACTCTTCTATCTGTTTTCTGTCAGCCTGCTCCTCCTGTCCTATCCATCCCAAAAAATTGTGCACCCCTAAACTTCCTTCTCCTTCCCTTCATCCCTCAACCCAAATCCCTGTTCTCGTCTATCAGAATGCTCTCGGCTCTGCTCTCCCAGCTCTGCCCAGCCTTCCTGAACGACGTTGCAGCTGACCTTGCCCAGTGGCGCCAGCAGCATCAAGAGCTGTGATGAGATGAGAACAGAAAATGCGCTTTATCTTGACTTGTCATAGTGCTCTTGGCTTTGCTATCCCTGCTCTGCCCCTGTCTTTTCTGGGAGACGTTGCAGCTGACCTTGCCCAATGGCGCCAGCCGCAGCGGGCGCTGTGGTTAGATGAGAACAGTGCTCGTAGTGATGAGATCGGGAATGCACTTTATTCCCGACTTGTCATAGTGCTCTTGGCTTTGCTATCCCAGCTCTGCCTAGCCTTTCTGGGAGGCGTTGCAGCTGACTTAGCCCAGTGGCATGAGCAGTACAGGGCGTTGTGATGAGAACAGGGAGTACCACACTCTCTCAACTGTCATACCGGTAGTGCTCTCTGCATTGCTCTCCCAGCTCTGCCCCTGGCTTTTCTGGGAGTTGTTGCTTGCAGCAGAATTTGCCCAGTGGCACCAGCAGCATGGGGCATGGATGGGGATACAAACAGACAATACGCGCCTGTATTTATATTGCTTGTAAGGGAGATGTAGTGCCCATTGTTTAATTGCTTGTTTGAATCTGATAGTGCATCGACATACAATACCGGTATGGTACTTATCGGTATGAGCTAAACAAGGCTCACTCCTCCAGCTGGCCCCTGAGTTCCTGATCTTGGATTATGCACAAGTACATTACCAGGGTAGGGAGGGAGTCCTGCTGTGCCAGGCAGATTTCTTAAGTTAACGGGATATGAAAAATTTATAAGCGTTCATCGCTTTCAAATTTGTGTATTGTGAAAGCGAAGTTGACTGTAACGCAATTTTGAGCATCGTCGAAGCACGCTATTCGCCTTGTAATGAGAACGATGCCAATTGCTACAGAAGCAAGCTTTCTCAATATTATAATTTTTAAACACATTGATGTTTTTCAAAATTGTGTATTGTGAAAGCGAAGCTGACTGTACCGAATATTTGGCAGCGTCGAAGCGCGCTAAACGCCCTTCTCCAACTACAAAAACCGTGGGTTGGAGTTCATTCCCTCCACCCACGTTTCTCGTTTTCCAACGGCTCAATCAACATTTCCGTTCGAGTAGTTCTTTTCCCCGTCCAAGCTGGCTAGAACTCGCACCCTTCCCAGAGGCGAGTCACCCTCAACACTTCTGCAAGACATTTTCAACCACAATCGATCTACAATGGCGTCTACGCCGGCACTTAACCGCGTCAATTCGTCTGCGCCGGTTTCCGACTCCGACCGTAACGCCCGAGAAATGACGGGCGATCGCCGTAACAAGCGGCGGGCAGAGGAAGGATCGCCCGCCCCAACTGCCGTGGACGTGCTGTTGGGCGGGCTCGAGGTCAACAAAAACTCGAGCCCGCCCCAGCAGCAGCACCCCTCGGCCCCTGTGGCGCCTGTGGCGCCTGTGGCGCCTGAGGCGCGTGTGGCGCAAGTGGCGACGGCGGCACCTGCAGCACCTGGGGTGCCACACGCGCCTGACGCGGAGCACACGCCGGCGCCTGTGGCTGGACCGTCGCGTCAGCGCCAGAGGCGCCGAACATCGACTTCTTCTGACGCGACGACCCCGGCGTTGACCAACGCGTTGACTCCGGACCAGGTCGCTGCGCTTCTGTCCCTGTTACAGCAACAACCCGCCAGCGTTACAGCTACGGAAATTGCACAACCCGCGGCGTCTGCATCTGCTAACAAGGAAAACGCAAAAAAAGAAAAAGGAGCGCGAGGAACAACGGCGAACCGGCACAACAAGGAAGCACCAGCCAGCATCCCACCTGCGCCAGCGGCCGACAACGACACCGACGGCTCCGACGACGATGATGGTGAGGCTCCGGTCCATACCGCAAATTTTCATTCCATGGAGCATCTTCCCCCCCTCCCCTATACTACTAACACCACTTGGTCGGCGGCGACGTTCAACGACGAGCACGTGCGGGCGAAAGCGGAGATTCTGGAGGACATGCGGGCCTACCTGAAACACGCAGAGCACAAGCTGCAGCACGGCGACTCGGCGGGCGGACTCGAAATGGTCGTCGCCGCCCTCGACGACATTTCCGCGCGCTTCGACATGTTTCAAGTCGAAGACGCATCCGACGACCGCGTTGCCAAGCGCTACAAGATGTACCTGGAGAAAAGCCTTCTCACCTCGCGGCCGTTCAAGCAAGCCGTCGCGGACGTGGCTGCCATGGACCGAGCGGCGGGCGCTCACGCTCGCTCCCACCGTGGTGGAAACCACGGCGCCAAGGCGTTCGCCCCAAAACGTGGCCCTCCAACCTCGGGCAACTTCCAAGGCTTTCGTGGTTCGTGTTTCCGCTGCGGACAGCCAGGCCACGTCGCCAATGCCTGCCCTCGGAATGGGCATGGGGGCCAAGGACCCGCACCGGTTGTGTAAGGTTCGGGCTATGGTGAAGCGCGCCTCTAGGCGCGATGCACGGTGCACTTTTGAGTGCTTAGTGTCAAATGTTGTAGCCTGTAGTGAGGTTTGTCTTAGGGGGTACAGAAGTTAGGGTTTGTCATATGTACCCCAACCAACATCAATGCAAGACTCATTCCTCATTCTGTCATGGTATCAGCTAGGTTAGGATCCTGTGGGATCCCGTTCCTCCGTTCTCCGTTCGTACCTCCCGAGCCTGATCCTACCTCTCGTTCGTACCAGTTTCGTAGTTACCGCGCCTAGTACCGAGCCTAGCGTCATCTCCCCCGTCGCGTCACGCCTGTTCCCCCCCCGTCGCGTCACGCCCGTTCCCCCTGTCACGTCGCGCCCGTTCCCCCCGTCGCGTCGCGCCCGTTCCCCCCGTCGCGTCGCGCCCGTTCCCCCTGTCGCGTCGCGCCCGTTCCCCCCGTCGCGTCGCGCCTGCCTGTTACCCCCCCCCGTCCCGTCGCCCTGTCCCGTCGCGTCGCCCTGTCCCGTCGCCCTGTCCCGTCGCCCTGTCCCGTCGCGTCGCCCTGTCCCGTCGCGTCGCCCTGCCCTGTCCCGTCGCGTCGCCCTGCCCTGTCCCGTCGCCCTGTCCCGTCGCGTCGCCCTACCCCGTCGCGTCGCCCTGCCCTGTCCCGTCGCCCTGCTCCGTCGCGCCGCCCTGCCCCGTCGCGTCGCCCTGTCCCGTCGCGTCGCCCTGCCCCGTCGCGTCGCCCTGACCTTTCCCCCGTCGCGTCGCCCTCCCTAGGCCCTGGCCTGTCGCCCTTCCTAGGCCCTGGCCCGTCGCCCTACCCTAGGCCCTGGCCCGTTGCCCTACCCTACGTCTTGGCCCGTCGTCCTAGCCCACTCTTCCGCTGCGACTGAGTCCTCTTCCCCCCCCGGTTGTTACTCGCCTGTTCGTTCTCACTATGGCGACTCCGCGAGTTCTTCGTTTCGACGCCGACGGTAGACCCCTTGACTTTTCCGTCTGGCTTCTTCGCGCTCGTCGTCTGTTAGAGAGTCAGGTCCAGGGGGGCGAGACCCTCTGGTCACACGCTACTGGTGACCTCCCCGAGCCCCCCGAGCCTACAGCTTTAGGCCCTGCTCCTGACGATGCTGCTACGGCTCGCTTTGCCCGTCAGCGCGCTGACCGGACGGCTTGGACGTCGCGTGACGCTGCGGCCTGCATCGCACTCAGCAGCCTCCTCCCTGAGTCCGAGGAGGTCCACTTTACTCAGGTTCGCACCGCTGCTGCGTACCTCACTGCGATTAAGGCCCGCTACTCTACTCCCGCTACTGTCTCTCTCGGCCGTCTTTTCCTCCCGTTCCTGTTTCCTGATCTTGCCTCGTTTGAGCGCTCTGCTGACTTGATCGCTCACCTCCGCTCGCTTGACGCTAGTTACCGCGCTGCTTGCACTGAGGCACAGCTTGCACTGCTTCCTCCCCCCATGGCGATTACTGTCTATTTCATCGCCACTAGCCTCCCTGACCGCCTTGCCTCCGTTCGTGACGCGCTTCTGCTGAAGCACCCTAGTGAGCTGACTATCGAGGTCCTTGAGTCTGCACTCAAGGATGTCGAGAGCAACCTTCGTTCGGTAGCTGCCGCCTCTGGTACTGTATCCCCCCCACTCTTCCACGGGTGCACAGTCCCGCAGTTACCCACCTTCACTGCCTCTCTTGCCACTGCCGCTACTGACGCGACTGCGGCTGCTGTTACGACTGCGTCGCGGTCCCGCGGCAGGGGGGGCAAGAAAGGTGGTTCCGGTGGAGGTGGAGGCGGAGGTAGCGGAGGTAGTGGGGGTGCTGTTGCGACTGGCGGTGGTGGGAGTGCAGCGTCTGGAGAGACCCCTCGTGCAGCGGCCGGTGACTCCACTGCACCTGCTGGTGGCAGCGACCCTCGAGCTCGTCAGTCGCCTCCCTGTACTGTCGGCCCCGCTAGGTGGAGCAGCGGCGTGGTACCAGGCTCAGCGTCAGCAGCACCTTCAGCAGCAGCAGCAGCCCCTTTCCTCCCAGCAGCCTCAGCAGCAGCAGCGTCAGCAGCTGGCTCCGGGGTCGGGGCTGCGTCAGCCCCAGCGCGGTGCTGCTTACCCTCCCTGCCCCTACCAGGTTCAGACAGGTCCTCGTCGGGGCCACCCTTGTGGCCGCTTTCACCCCCCTGGTCAGTGCTTTGCTCAGCTCACTGACACGGTCCGGTTGACCTACGGGGTTGGCGGTCCTGCTCCTGACTGGCTTCCTCTGGTTCAGCGCTACGGCTCCGCTCTGTGGGGCATGTCTGCTGAGCAGTTAGTTGATCTGATTAGTGCTCCTCATGCTATGTATGCTGTTGTTGACTCTAGTGTTTCTGACTCTGTTTACTCTGGTGTTGTTAGCTTAGGTGCTAGTCTTGCTGAG